GAGCCGTAAAGCATAGCACCACCAGCTAACTTCTGATTGGTTCTTTGCCATGAGGCAGGCATCTGACCTCCTAGTGACCAAGGCAAGGTCAGGCAAGCACGTGCTAGGCTGTTATGGCTGCTGAAATGGAGAGCTGGTCCCTTCACAAGCAGAAAAGGAGGTAAAGGGCCCAGACCCTCGACCTCCCTCCATCTTGCCCTAGTCACTAGGAAGCCAGAGCGTGGCAAGGAAGAAATCAGAAGTTAGCTGGCGGGCTCTGGATGTGCTTTACTGATAACAGTGGAATGCAGAGCATAGCAACTGCCCTGGGAGGGCCTCTAGGCCATAGCAACCGTTCTGCAGCTGCAGCTGACCAATCAACTCAGGACAGGTTGCCCAAGCCCAGAGATGCACCAATCCTGAGACTGTTGCTATGCAACTAGCAGACCCCCCCCTCACACACATACACTCCCCTTGCTCTACCCCAATATATTCCCTTGAGTGTGGCTGAGGTCCCTCCTGTTTCCAATGGACTGGACCTGGGAACCCAAGTTAACTCGGAAAACAAAAGACTTTGTTTTTGCATTGGATTGGGTCTCTTGGTGATTTGGGAGGCTCAGAGTTTGGGCGCCAACAGAGGAAGGGTCGCAAAAAGAACTCTGCCATAGGGAAGGTTAGTCAGCTAAGAGACAGAGGATAGTGTAGCCACAGAGGACAAGGGGGAACCAGCATCAGAAGCCATCAGGGCCAAGACAAGCTGCAGGACTCCCTAGGAGGAGGCAAGGAAGCTCACAAGATACAGGCCCTGGAGGACACAAGGAGAAGGGGAGAGAGAGGGAAATAGGGAGAGAGGGAGGGAGGGAGGGAGGGAGGGATCTGCCTGAGGTGTTCTGCTCCAAAGGACCAGACCAAACCCAAGTCACCTACACTGGTTTCCCTGTCACCAGGCCAAAGATAAGTTGTTATCTGACCTTCAGAGTAATGAGAGCTAAAAGCTGAGTCCAGCCTGAGCTCCTGGGATTTGACCTTCACAGAGAAAAGCCACTCTGCTTCTCCTGGTTGCCTTTGCCTTTGGCCTCGTCCCAGCTCTGATCCCCGCTTGTGCTACAGAGCTGTGGAGTCTCAGACCCCAGCCGAAGGCTGCCTGACCCCTGGGTAGGGGTCACCACACAATAGAATTCGGCCCCTTTCCTGTAGTGTCTGAAAACAAACAAGGTTGGGGCATGCTTAGACAGGCAGGGCACGTGCCTAGGATGTGCAAGGTCCCAGAATCTGTCCCCAGCACTCACGATGCCTCCCCACCCCAAAGAATGAAAATTCTAGGCTGGGCAGTAGTGGCATAGACCTTTAATCCTGACACTCAGGAGGCAGAGGCAGATGGGTCTCTATGAGTTCGAGGCCAGCCTGGTCTACAGAGCAAGTTCCAGGACAGCCTCCAAAGCCATACAGAGAAACTCTGTTTTGAAAACCACCCCTCCCCAATAAAAAACCAAAAAACCCAGGGTTGGTGCCTCTGGGTTTAGGTGGAAAGTAAATTTAAAAAAAAAATCAACATTTATCTTGTATATATATGTACACATGTGCAAGAGCACACTCATGAGTGCCACATACATGTGCAGGGATCAGCGGGCAACTTGCAGGAGTTGGTTCTCTTCTACCATATGGATCCCAGGAATCAAACTCAGGTCCTCAGCTTGGTGACTGCTCATGGAGCCATCTTCAACACCCCCCTACCTGTTTGTTTTTGAGACAGGTCAGATGTAGCTGGGCTGGTCCCCAATTTGCTGTGTACAGGAAAATTGCAGGTGCACACCCACTAAGCTCAGCCTGGAAAGAAACGTCATCGGAGCTGGAGAGAGGGCTCAGAGGTTAAGAGCACTGGCTGCTCTTCCAGAGGTCCTGAGTTCAATTCCCAGCAACCACATGGTGGCTCACAACCATCCGTTATGAGATCTGGTGCCCTCTTCTGGTGTGCAGATATACATGGAAGCAGAATGCTGTATACATAATAAATAAATAAAATTAAAAAAAAAAAGAAAGAAAAGAAACGGCTTCATGAAGAAGAATGAGAAGGCCTGGAAAGACTGGGGTGGGCGAGCGTCTGAAGAGGGAGGTGGCAGGTTGGAGGGTCAGCTGGGGGGGTCCCATTCTTGTAAGAGCTCCTCAAAGGGTCTGTGTGCTGGCTTTCTTGGAGGCTGCACTCAAGTTCAGGACCTGGGGGAAGGAGAGACACCCCACACAAGTTTCATTGCAATACTTTGTCCCCAGTGATGGATGGGGACAAACACTTCCATGAATCACTGAGTCCAAGAATGGACACCTGAAGCCGAGTCATAAGCAAACAAATACAAAGGGCATCTTGTGGGTAGGGGTGGGCTTGCTTTCAATCCTGACTTCACCAGAACTGTCTGTCCCTGTGAGCTCAGAAAGGGCAGAGGGAGAGTCTTCGTGGTGGCCATTGGTTAGATCTGGACCCACCCAAGAGATACACTGCTGGCCTTGTTCATGAGGGCCTCTCCAGAGAAGTTTGATTGGGCAGGAAAGACCCACCCTGAAAGACCAAAAGAGGAAGTCAGGCTGAACTCCTGCTCATCCTTCAGTCTTCACCGAGGAGCCTCGAGACCAGCCACATCACACCCCTGCTACCTTCTCTCCATGGTGGATTGAAGCTCAGATTGTGAGCGCAAATACACCCTCCCTTCTTTAAGATTTCTTTAAAATAAAGTGTGTGTGTGTGTGTGTGTGTGTGTGTGTGTGTGTGTGTTGTGTGTGTGTGCTTGGAGCTGCTGGCGTGCTTGTGAGCCATGTGGCATGGGTGCCCGAATTGAATTCATTTTCTCTGGCGCGGTAGGTGCTCTTAGCCACTGAGCCCTCAGCCCCTAAGTTGCTTGTTGTCAGTGTGTTTGGTCACAACAGTAGGGTATCTAGTACAAGGGCTTCCTGAAATTCAGTTGCAGATAAAAAACTGACTTTGCCAGTTCTGCCAGCTGTTGGTCTTCAGTCAGGGAGGCCAAATGAAGCACAGAAGTAAGCAATTATATGTGAACTCTCAGCTAAGCGTTTAAACATAGGCTTCCTCGTGCAATATTTAGTCATTGTTAACTGCAGCATGTCATGTACCTTTAATTGCTGAATCTGAATGTGAGTCTCAGAATATTTCTCCTAAAGCATACTTTTACCTTTTTTTTCCCCTGACAACCCTAACCTCCTCCACTGGCTGTCCCTGCCCCCTCCACTGGCTGTCCCTGCCCCCTCCCCCGGCTGGCCCCGCCCCCCCCCCGGCCATCCCCACCCCTCCACTGGCTATCCCTACCCCAATGAACTTTCCAGGCCCCAGCTCCTTTTCTCCCCATCCTCTGAACCCTGTACCCCTTTCTCATAACTTCCTACATAAGCTAGCGAGTGACTGCCACTCTTTTTGGAAAACTTTCTGTTTCTGTTTTGTTTTAAGATAAGGTCTCCTGTTACCACACTGGCCTGAAACTTTCTAGGTGAAGGAAGATGACTTTGAACTCCTAATCTTGCCATCTCCTCTGTGCCTGGCTTTATTGGATTAGTAAAAAGTATACAGTTTTCTCTCTCTCTCTCTCTCTCTCTCTCTCTCTCTCTCTCTCTCTGTGTGTGTGTGTGTGTGCACGTGTACACATGTGCACGTGGGTGCGAGCATGTGTGCACATGTGTGTGAGAATGTGTGCGTGTGTGTGTGTGTGTATGTGAGAGAGAGAGAGAGAGACAGAGGCAGGAATGGAACACAGGGGAAGGCCCGTGCATCCTGAGCAAGTTCCCCGCTCTCCTACTTAGAAATGTACCCTGCCCCCTTGCTTTTGCTTTCTTGGCCACCCCCACCCTTCAGGAAGCATCCTCATGTTTTATATCATGCCTCCTTTGAGATAACTGCAAAGGAGTTATGGAATCCACTTCACAAAACAGGAAATAGAGCCGGGCGTTGGTGGCGCACGCCTTTAATCCAGCACTCGGGAGGCAGAGGCAGGCGGATCTCTGTGAGTTTGAGACCAGCCTGGTCTACAAGAGCTAGTTCCAGGACAGCCTCCAAAGGCACAGAGGAACTCTGTCTCGAAAAAACAAAAAAACAAACAAAAAAAAAAGGAAATAGAGACTGAGATTTGGTACCCAGAACTAAAATTTGAACTTAAAATAGAGGATGCAGAGCCTTTCATATTTAGTAAAAATAAAACATGTACTGTGGACCTCAGCCACACAGGCTTCAGGTTTCTCTACCCTTTCTGGTAAACAGCAGCTTACACAGGCTCATGAGAGCTGCCTTCCTTCCTACCAGGGTACATAAGTATATCTAATCTATAATCTTGTCTTTGCCAGAAGTGTCACTTGGGGACAGGACTGTACTTCCCATGAGAAGCCACTTAGTCTGGCCAGACAGACAGTCACATCACATCCGGCAGGACTGCCCAGCTGTGGTTTGGGGTGGTGTAGGCTGTCTGTGGTTCAAGGTCTCAGAGAGCACAAGATGAAAAGCAGCCAGAGGGGTTTCAGGACAGGACAGAACTGGTGATTTAACGTCTTCTAGAACTGTCCAGACAGAAACTAACTAATAATCTGGCTACCCTGTGAGGGTAAAGAAGTGAAACACTAAAAATAATTCTCCCTGTTGAGCAAAAAGGGAAAGACTGCCCCCCCCCATTGTCTTTGCATGTTACAAGTGAGTGTGAATCTCTTCAGTGCTGAAGGAGGCCTCTTCCAGGCTCCCACTCAGTACAGTTTCCCCGGAACCCTGGGGCCCCCACACAAGTGCCACCATCCAGGAGACTTGTCTCCTTCAGTGGACATGTGTCTCCACATAATGAATGACGTACCCACTGGCTAGACCACGCTATGGCTTCTGTGGTTTGCCTGACTCAAATCTTCCCAACAGCCACGTGAGAGGGAGCCTTCCCGTTCCATCAACAGCCGCCTGAGATGCACCTTGTGGTTTTGTTCATGCAACAAGAAGATTCTCCTGTCACCTTCATGGAATGCTTTCCTGGATTGGGAAGAGATTTTATTGTTAATTCTACCCGTCCACAATACTCTGGTTTTATTCAGCAAACCGCAGGCCTTAGGACATTCAGCAGTGCTTCTGTGGCATCACTAGAAACCAAGGTTTGAGAAGCCACCTCGTGTCATGCAGAAGTCCAGGTAAGCAGGGACTTCATGAACATCCACCAGGCTGGGGGTGGCAGGGGTGGGGGGCTCAACAGTGACAAGCACATGAGTCCTGGCGTGGTGTGCTCTTTCATCCCAGTGTAAGACCCTCAGAAAGCTGAGGCTTCCAGAATCTTAGCCCAGGAGGGCGGCTTCTCCATAGACAGAATGGAGGCGAAAGCTTGATGCAAACTGCATGAGGCTTTATTGTAATTTAACGAGCTAACCCCATGTTAGCTCAGGTCTTTCACCCCCCCGCCATGGCGGGCGGCTAGAAAAGACGGCTCCTTGGGTCTCCCAAAAGATCTTATAGGGCAGCGTAAGGGGAGTGTCTAGGGGTACGCACAGGCTTACGCACAGGCTCACGATTGGTGTGCTTCCAGGCTTGGAGGGCTTGCCCTGTGTTGATTGGTCAACTGGTTGTTATGGCCCATAGGCCCTCCCAGGGTGGTTGCTATGCTCTCTACGTCATTGCTGTGCGCTTGTCCGTAAAGCACACCCAGGGTTGTAAAGCATAGCGCCACCAGCTAACTTCCGATTGGCTCCTTGTCACGAGACAGGCATCTGACTTTCTAGTGACTAACTTCTGATGGGTTCCTTGTCACGAGACAGGCATCTGACCTCTACGTGACCAAGGCAGGTTTATGGCAAGCACGTGTTCGGCTGTTATGGCTGCCAAAAGGAAGCTGGTTCCTTCATTAGCACTCAGGGGGCAAAGGCAAGTGGATCTTTGTGAGTTCCAGGCCAGTTTGGTCTACAGAGTGATTTCTAGGACAGTCAGGGCTATACAGAGAAACCTTGTCTTGAAAAACCAAAACGAATAAAAAAGCACTTGTTGCTCTTGTAGAAGGACCAGGGTTCAGTTTCCAGCATCCGCATGGCAGCACATAACTGTCTGTAATTTTAATTCCAGGGGACCTCATGCCCTCTCCTGGTCTTCATAGGCTCCTGCATGCACATGGTACACACACAGGTGCAGCCAAAACACTCAGAACATAAAAAGGCCAGAGCGTCTACACGTCTACACGTAAACAGTAAGGGGAGGCCTCTGGAGGGCCTATGTGTACCTGTCCTCTCTGAATAAGAGAAGCTGGTTTGGAGAAACAGGCTTGACCTCATTCTGAGCCAGGCCCAGGTGAAAAGGGAGCCTCAGGCAGGCCTCACCCGAGGGACTAGGGAAAATTTGCATTTTGATAAGTTTCCCAAGGGGACCTTTGTCCGTTCAGCCAAAACACAACATTGGCCCCTTCAGGGCCAATACAGAGATTTAACCAAGACAGTGATTTTTACATTGCTCTAAAGCAGGCCGTGACAGAGCCCTTCCCACCTGGCACGTGGTCTAATGCATACCTTTCTTTCCGGGAAGAGGTTGGCAAGATATGGAAGTTACCAAGGAAACCAGTTACCTGCTGGTTAGACTACATAGGCACTGTGAGCTAGGATAATCCACCTCTAAAGTCCCTCAAAAAACAACCACAATAACATACATTTCTGAATCGGTCTCTCAGGACTATGACCTGTGCGTACAAAAGTGTCACCGGACATGTTTTGTTGTTTTGAAAAACATTTTATTATTGTGTGTGTGTGTGTGTGTGTTGTGTGTGTGTGTGTGTGTGTGTGTGTGTGTGTGTGTGTGTGTGTGTTGCACACGGGTGTATGCCGGTACCTGGTACCTGTGCTGGATCCCCTGGAGATGGAGTTATATGGGACTGTGAGCCGCCCCATGTGTGTGCTGGCAACCCAACCCAAACAGCAAGTGCTCTGAGCCACTGAGCCATGTCTCCAGCTCCCCTCACAGAATTTTAACACACATTAAACTAAATTATCTCAATGGGCTTTTACACTTCTGCGGGAAGAAATGGGAGGGACAGGTCATGTAATGTGATTTTCCTGGAATAGTGCTGTGCTTCTAGGCCAGGAGGAAAGCTTAGCAGCAAGAAGGTGAAAGGCCACCTGGCCAAGGAACAAATGAAGCAGGCCGGGGGACAATGAGCAAAACTGAGGAAAGGCTGCAACATGGGTCCCTGCCTGCTGCAACGGCACATGGTGGGTATTTCACATGTGTTTAACAGTCTAACCCTAAAGCCAATCAATAGATGGGAAGCCTAATGCTCCTAGGAAGGGGCGTGGCCAGCAAGGGCTTCATCCAAGCCTGCCAGAGAGGATGTCAATAGGACAAGGTGAATCGGAATGGACCTGTCATCTTTTCATGGAAACACAAAGGGGTCTGAACCCCTAAGAAGAAGAGCAGCCATGTTGGAAATGAGGCTTTATGTCCATCTGGCCTTCTCATGTTGCTTTCCTATTGCCCCCCACTAACTTCCAAAAGGGTGAAGGATTCTGTCACAAAGACGGGACATTCATGTGAGGGGGTTCCTATGACAACCAAACTTTCCAGGAGGAAGTGTCAGAAGGCAGAACAACTACAGAGCGATGGAAAGCTCAAGCTCACATTGGGTAAGAAGGGTCCCAGGGCTGGGGATGGGCTTGGTGGTGGAGCCCTTGCTTAGCGTGTCAGGGCCCCGGGTAAAGCCCGTCACCTCCGGAGGGAGAACGGGAGAAAGGCAGGGTCTTGCTTTTCACTCGGTTGCTTTGCCCGAGGTGGCCGATGGCGACTGCATTCTATCGGTATTGCATAACCGTTACATAATTCTCCCAGCTGACAGACTGGGGACAAATGACCTTCCAATGACTTACACACATGCAAGGACAGAGCCATTTCTGCTGTAACTGTGAAACTGATCTGCAAACAAAAACCAGAACAAACCGCCCAAAGCCCAGACAGGCTTCTGCTTGTAAAGATTATAAGAGAATGTATTTCTGTGGTCTTCCTGTTAGCAGTCTAAACAGCGGCTTAAACGAAACAAGCACATCCAGTCTTTGTTGAAGAGCTGAGAACTAAGGGCTTCCCACCCGTGAACAGCAGGGGCAGGGGTGGGAACGAGCAAGGCAACGGGAACACACTTAGACCAGCTAGGGTTGGAGGCACAGGCCTGTAATCCCATCTACTCCTGGAGGTCCTGGCGGCCAGTCACAAGTCCTGGCAGTCTAGACTACAGAGTGATGAGTTAAAGCCCAGCCTCTGCAACGTATCAAGATTGTCTCAAAATAAAAAGTAAAACTGAGGGCTGGGGGCATAGTGGTATAGACATACTCAGTGGTGGAGTACCTGCCTAGCACGCTCAAGGCCATAGGTTCAACCCTTAGCACAGCGCGCGTGCGCACTCACACGCATGCACTCATACACTCACACACTCTCACACACACACACTCACACACACACATTCACACACACACACTCACACACACACACACACACACACACACACACCAGCAGGACCAAGATGGAGGCTGCATGCTTCTAGACATGGGGAATGGACAAGGACTTTGCATGGCAGTGACTGTCTGTACCTGTCAGCGTGTGTCTCACTCCTGTCATTCCCCAGGCAAAGGCTGGGGGTCCTCTCAGTGGGCATATTCGTCAACATCCGAAGAAAGGCTTCTCACACAGGCTAACTACTCCATGAGGAGTAAACTTTCCTACCACCGCCAAAGAAGAAAGCATGGACAAATTTTAGCTCCAATTCCCAGGAAGCTAACCATCATGTCGTACCGTCCGTCCCCCCCTCGCCCCTCCCCCACTTTGGAGCTTGTTGGACCTTAGGAGACTGGCCCAGCACCCACAAAACCCTTCTTGTCTGTGCCTGGAGTGCTGGCCTTCCCTCTGCAGGGGGTTCTTTCTGTCTTCTCCACATAATACTCTCTTTGGCATTTCCTGGTCTCCTTATCTAAGATTAAAAAACCCAATTCCATCGTCCCCAGCCCTAGCTGCTCTCCTTCCCCACACCTCCTCCATCTTCCCCCAGGGATCCAAAGTTCCCTGAGGGGTCGGGAGCCTGATGAGGCCAACAGTTAGTGTCTAATTAAACTTGATTGGGATCCATCAGAAAGCACAACAACACTTGTCTGATACATCGGAAGGGTGTTAACCGAGCTCACAGGACCACACTTCCAGAACCCTGCCTCTACTTTCCCAGTCAACATCCGTCTCCTAGGGGACGACAATCAGCAATCTAAACCACAGAGGCTCCATCCCACACTCTTCATTTCAGGATGTCCTTGCTTCGGACGTTTCTAAACCCATGGTTCTCAACCTTCCTGATGCTGCGACCCTTTAATGCAGTTCTTTGTGTTGTGGTGACCCCCCCCCCCAACCATAAAGTTATTTTTGTTGCAACTTCATAACTGTAATTTTGCTATCGTTATGAGTGGTAACATAAATACTTTTGGAGATAGAGGTTTGCCAAAAGTATTGTGACCCACAGGCTGAGATCCAGTTAAACCCTTAGCGCTCGGGGAATCCACACAGTGGTACGTGTGGCACGAGAATCCTGAGGAGTGTCTCTGCATGGAAAGACCCATTAGAACATGTCCCCAACTGCATAAGCCCAGACTGGGGTCAGCTGTTCTAGGACATAAGCATTTCTCAGGGACAGAGTACAACTGGGACCAACTGACGGATTCCTAAGCAAGAGGCTCACCCTGCAGCTGCACCTCCTACACAGCTCTCCGCTGAAAAAAGTCTTGGCTTAGAATGAACCCTGGGCTTTGTAGTACCCGCTGGCCATTGCAAAGAGCATCCGATGAAGGATCGCGCCTTCTAGTGGACAGGAAGAGAAGCTAAAAATCCTACTTCAATTAACATCTAAGGACTTCTTTTTTGCCTGTGTGTCACAGGTATTTTCCCTCAAGTGCTGTCCACCTTGCTTGTGAGACTCATCCTCTCACCAAGTAGATTATACCAGGGGCCAGTGAACCCTGGGGATCTGCCTGCCTGTCACAGGCCACCACGCCCAGCTTTTTTACTTGGGTTCTGGGGATCAGAGGCTCTTGGATTCACCAAGCACATTACCAGCTCAGCTATCTCCCCAGCACAAAGGTCTTGACCACAGATTTCATGGGCCGGCTCTAATCCTTATGGAATCTGGAGAAATGGTCACAGGGGCTCGGGCCTGTCCAGGGCATGCCAAGACCTCATCTTACGCATGGGGTCAACTAGTCAGAGGCAAGGCACAAACAAAGGCTGGGGGATCCATGGGAGATAGAAGGGAACTGGACTTGGCTGGGAACTCTTCCAGCCACGTCAAACATTCGGGCTTCTTCTGTGGAATCTGCATTCCCTGGAGCCCCAAAGGCAGCCAGCAAGCTAGTCACGGGAGCCTGTTGCCACGAAGTCAATAATGACATCAGCCGAGGAAGAGGCCACCTCAGGGCAGCTTTTTAGCCAGAATAGGACCAGATGTAGGTGTTTCCTGGAGGGCCTGGCGTCTCAGGGCAGGCCACCCTGCCTCGTGATCATCTCTCCACTAGTCCCAACTTCTGCCTAAGAAATCCCCGGGCACACTCAGCATGGTGGTGACACTCATACCCACAGCATGGAGACATGATCAGGAATTCAAAGCCAGTGAGTTCCTTCCTGTCTTAAAAAACACAAAAAACAAAAACACCAGGGCCGGGTGGTGATGGTGCACGCCTTTAATCCCAGCACTCAGGAGGCAGAGGCAGGTGGATCTCTGTGAGTTCGAGACCAGCCTGGTCTACAAGAGCTAGTTCCCGGACAGCCTCCAAAAGACACAGAGAAACCCTGTCTCAAAAAACAAACAACAAAACCCCCCACCAGGATCCTAGCAGTGTGGAGGCTGTGGCAGGATGGTGGGGTGTTTGGCCTGGACTACATAGGTACCAAGTCACTGTCTCAAAATCCCAGCCCGACAGTGAACTCAAGAATCCCGCAGCACCCCTTCCTTGACTGACTGGAAGGACCATGGGCTCTCAGTAGCTCCACCCAGCAGCTTTCTGCAGGCTGCCAATCAGACATAGGAGCTGATGTTGCATAAGCAGTCAAACCAGCACTGTGGTGGTCCTGAGGACCTGTGGACAAGAGGCCCCAGTTGCCCAGACAAGTTCTGAGGGCAGACTGGAGCCATCATGAAGACACCACATTCTGTGGGCGGGAAAAACACCCCACACCACGATGAGTCAGGGACATGCCACCAAAACAGCCTACTCCAGAAAGATCACTACAGACTTTTTTTTTCCAGTGTGCATTGCATCCCAACACATAAATTCAGGCAGCAAATAGTCTTTTTCTAGAGACAGCACGCAGACCATGGTGCTGCTTTTGTGAGGCCCAAATGTGGATGTTCAGGCGATGCCAGAAGCTCCCTGCCTTGGTGGCACCGGGGCATGGTCACCATCACAATCCCTGTATCAAGGCACTCCAGGTAAAACAGGGAAGTGTCATGCCCAAGTCCACAGGGCTGGCTGATGCTAGAGCTGGGACATGAAGCCCCAGTGGAAAACCCAGGTGTTTCTGCCTCCACGACGAGAGCCCTTCCTAGGTCACCTAAGGGGCTGCTGGACACCAGAAACATGGTATCTTTAAGTCCTTCAGATTATTGGTTGGTTGCAAACCACCAAAGACCTTACATCACAGTATTGAAATGATAGCCCTGCAGACCAACTGGGTAGCTCCTCAGGAGTTAGCTGGAGAGTGGGATGGGAAGACCACGAAGAGGCCCGATGAGTCACATCCAGTGACATAATGTAAACCAAGGGGACAGGCTGCTGGCCCAGCAAGCCAGCCTTCCACACTATGCCAAGAACCCAAGCCCAATGTGGGAGATAAGCCATACTGGCCCTGTTCCTGCAAATAACCAAACCCTCCATCACCAGCAGTGTACCTAATCTGTGACCAGGTCCCCTAGACATGCAATTGGGCAGAGGTGGGGACAATGGTAGTTCTGATCCTGCTAAGGGCGCTGTGCTAGAGGAACAAGGGTACAGGACAGAGGTAGCACAGAGGAATAGTCTGTGTGGTAACTCCTACAGCGAGGGCAAGGAGCACCCACAGGGCTGGGATCCCAGAGACCATGGACATCTCCCCATCAAGACACCTCTCACAATTTCATTTCCTTGGGTTCACTGTGCCCCTAGCACCTACACCCCCTACAGAACTTTTTGGATGGCCGTGTGCTTCATGCCCAAAACAGCCGGGAATCCTGAGCTTTTCACCCCAGCACCCGAGAGGCAAAGACAGGTGGATCTCTGATCCTGTCAGACAAGCAATCAAGACAGAGTATGGTCAAATGCCATTTATTTACAGCCACCACACAGCAGTCTTAAGCCGGTGAACACCCCCAAAACATATCAGAGTCAAACCCGACAGGTCCAAGTGCACGCAGCAGGGCCTGGTTTTCACTCAGTGTACACACACCAATCTTCCAGGCAAGTGACCTGAAAAAAGAAAGCACACGCCATCAGTCTTCATCCTACTTCAAGCCTCAACATTTAGTTAAAGCCACCAGGCCACCCTTCCCCATCCAGGTGGGTGTACAAGGTGCCAAGTTCCTGCTTCTACTCACACATCCTTCTACATGTACACAAACTGCCGGCACTGTGGCCTTTCCTTGGAAACCTGCTGGTCAACAGCCACAAGCCAGGTCTCTGGTGACAAAGGCCCCTGCAGCTCAGCACTGGCTCAAACTCATCCCCATTTGAGCCCCCTCCTCCCCTCCTGCCATGTCCTCAACTGTGCATCCTGCCCCACCTGTAGCCCCCTCAGAGGCCCACAACCGGACAAGTCCCCACGTGTGCAGTCTCTCATTACTTGCTGATGTCTACTTGGACAGATGCCAAGTCCCCTAACAACCAGGACCTCACACACTAAGCACATGAGCTACCGCTGAGCCACACTCCAGCAAGGTCTACAAGCCCCTGAAAATCGAGTGGCAAGCCGTTAACCACGGCAGATCCGATGTGTGCTAGACCCAGGACCGCCAACATGGTGACCACTGGCTCCACAGGGCTACGTTATAATACAAATTCTAGTCCCTCGACCACACTGACAGCACGTGAGGCCCCTGGTTGCTCAGGGGAGTCCAGGTGAACTATTTCCATCATCAGAGTCTGTCTGGTTATACCGCTGTCTTACACAGTGATGTATATGGATCGCAAATGTATGTGTGTCTTTTTGTTTAAACTCCACGAGGGTCGGGGCATGTTCCCAGTAAGAAGAGTGCCCAGCATGCACAAAGCCTTGACATTGATCCCAGCACCACATAAGCCAAGTGTGGTAGAAGGTGCCTGTAAGCCAGCAATCCGGGTGTAGAGGCCATCCTCAGCTACATAACGAGTTAAAGGGCACCCCGGGGCTAAATGAGCCCTATCTTGGAGGATGGTGATGCTATCGCTGGAGAGAGATGGCTCAGCAGTTAAGAGCGCTTGCTCTTACAGAGGACCTGGGTTCAGTTCCACACTGGGGCTCACACCCATCTCTAATTCCACTTTGAGGGGATCTGGCACCCTCTGGTGACCTCTGAGGGCACCAGAGAAACATCCACACACATAAAACCTTTTAAAAATAATCTACAACAAGGGACCGGAGTAATGAACCAAATATTTACTTTTGGAGGAAACAAACGATATTAAAGCTCCTCGGAGTTCCGAGAGAGCGGCCCTCGGCCTCGGACAGCGCTGGCCAAAAGTCCTGTTTGCAGTATCATACATGATCATCAAACTGCTGCTAGGATGTTCACACCTGTTACCGCAAATCATAACCCCAGGGAACACGTTCCTCTGGGAATTTACTTTAGGTCAAGGTCGGGCTGTCTGGTACAAGGCTGCACCCACCTCGGGCAGGTCCAACCACACAGGAGCCTTTCCCCAGACCGTCCGTCCACCCTAGGACACTCTACCTCCGGGACGGTCATACCTGGGTCGCCTGGAACTCTCCCGGGAGCAGAAAGCAGCTACTGCGTGATTTCGGCCGGTCGCTGGGGGCTGGAGAGTTTATTTTTAGCTGCGGGGGGAGGGAGCGGAGAAAGGAGTAAAACAACTGGGCTTAAGCGCATGGCCTGGAGTGTGGCGGTGGCACACTGGAGGAGCCGGTGCATGGCCGGCGTGCTCGCCCGGACACAGTGCACCCCTGCAGCCCGTCCCGGGGTCAGTGCACCCCTGCAGCCCGTCCCGGGGTCAGTGCACCCCTGCAGCCCGTCCCGGGGCCAGTGCACCCCTGCAGCCCGACCCGCGGCCGCGTGCGGGCCCGGGAGCAGCTTCCGGAGCCCAGGCCGGAGGTTCCACGCCGCGCAACACAAGCTGCAGTTCCGCTCAAAACGAAGCACGCGCGTTCCTCTCCCGCGCCGGAAAGAGCTCCGCAAATGCACTTCCGACCGGAGGTGAAGCCTTCTTACCATCGAGACTACCGCCAGAGGGCCGCTCTAGCCTTCGGGTCATCCAGAGCTGCCTTAAAGGGGCCGCGCGGTCCGGCTCGTCTAGAGGGGGACAAGCCGGAGGGACGTCCTACCCGTGGGCACCAGGAGCTGGCCACTGTCCCTTTAACTCTCTCAGCCCTGTGCTGGACATTGGATCGATGGTGCAGACCAACAAGTTGAAGTTCCCGAGGGGGTCAAGCGGTTTCGCCTGAGCCCTGCAAAACATCCGCTTGTGGCCAAACAGGTTGAAACCCAGCAGGTCCTGCTGCAAACCTGTAACCCTTCATCGCAGTATGAACCGACCCCGATCAGAGCCCTCTTGATCCGATGGCTCCCCAAAGCCGCAGCTGTGAAAGAGCTCCGGGGGGATGCCACACTGTGGCCCAGCAAGGGCTGGAGTCTGTGATGTGGCATTTCTGGGCTAAAACCCCCAAAGTAGGCATCCAAGCCCTGAATATCCCAGCAGGCTTCAATTATCCCAAGGCATTCCCGGGTTCCAGTAGGAAATCCCACCGAGAATTTGGTCAGTTACCCCAGGGCCAAGTCAGTGCTGGGTAGTAATTCCCCCAAACTGAAGCATCCCACCCTGGAGGGAAGTTTGAGAAAGTGCGACAGGAAAGGCCCCTTAAGACTCAGAAAGCTGAGAACTCACAAGTCTCCAGAAGCTCCTGAAGGTTCCCAGATTCACAAGGCCCCTCCTTCTCTAAGGCTACATGAGGATGAGGAGGAGAGGAGACACTGACCTGTGGGGCTACACAGAGAGCTCCAGGTGCCAGCTTTCCCGAGTTGTCATCCTTGCTGGACTGGACTGGGCTTCTAGTGGTGCAGACACCTTTGGGTTGTCCAGGCTCCTGAAAATGAACCCCAGGAAACTCAGCGTTTCACCTGGTTGGACTTTGGTGGCACCATGGTTTCAGTCGGCCATTGATAGCCCACTGAAGTGTTAACGTGCTGTTCTATTGAAGGGTTAAACGCTCCCTCTTTCTTTCTACAGCTGGATTTAAGTTGTAGTTCTCCTAGAAGGACACACAGGTGTCTCTCCCTACAAAGCCAATTATCCACTGTACCCTTACATTCAGGGTCAAGGGAGAGAACAGACACAGAGGGGCTAAGTCGGCTAAGTCGGCTCACAGTGTCTCAAGGACAAACACAGCAGCCCCCTTCTGAGTCACCTCTAAGCTTATACAGATGGGTCCCAAATGATAAGACTAAACCCCAGCCAATTAGAAATACAGTAACCCTGCTTGCTTAACCGATTTTGTAGCTGAGCCTGGAACTCCCCTTAGCTGTGCTTAAAAAGAGTCTGCAAGTCTCTCAGGGTCGTTGCCATTTTGTACAGGTGAACGACCTCACATGCATGCTGGGATAATAAACGCTCTTTGTTCTTGCTACTGTTTGAGTCTGAGGTCTTTCTTCAGCATTTCCTCCCACCCTATACTATCTCCCTAGAAAAAGTGTCACACGACAGTTACCCCTATAGACGGGGGCATTTTATTGTGGTTCCTTCTAACCAATGTGCTCTAACTGGAATCAAGTCCATCCACAGCTCAGATGGGTGAAGGGGGTAGGGCAGATGGGGTGTGCACATTTTATTTTACAGTAAAATGGGGGGCTTGACACCCACACATCTTTGCTATGAAATGAAGGGTCTTGCATATTTCCCTGTGAAGGGAATCTAACCACTAAACTACATACCCCTGCCCCCAAGGCTTTTTATTATTTATTTCAGATAAAAAATATGTTGACATAAAAACACAAACCTTGCCTCAAAGGAAATAAGAAATAATTTATTCTTGAGCCAAATTTGAGTGAGCAAATTCCAGGAAACACAGGGCTAGATTACATCAGGTTCCGTGTTCCCTCATGGAAGCAGTTTCCTGGAGTTTTTATACTAACAGAACGAAGAGAGTCTTAAAACAGGGCACTGTAAAAGTATCAGTGGAGGGCTGGAGCATTGGCTCAGCAGTCAAGAGCAGTGGCTGTTTTTCCAGGAGACCTGGGTTCATTCACATACACATGGCATCCACAAACTCCATAAGTCCAATCTCAGGGGATGAATTTGAACTCCTGACCCTCCTGCCTCTGCCTTCCCAAGTGCTGGGATTTCAGGTGTGTAGCATCACATTTGGCTGTCTTTTATTCTTGGTATGAGTCTAGCCTTCTAACAGTCTTGAAGACACTTGGAAACCATTGTAAGAGAAATGCAGTGAGGTTTCCAGGACCAGCCTCCCACACCCACCCCACTTCTCTGCTCACACCCATGTTTTCTTTTCTATTTAACTATTTAACCTTGGTTGTCTGATTTTGTCGCTGGAACAACTTTGCTTGGCTTTCCTCTAGTTTATCAACTTACTTGATAATTAAAAATGTAATTAGGACAAGTTCAACAGCACAAACAGGCTCGGGAACAGTGGCTTTTGGCGGCTGGCCAGCATTGGGCTCTTTGTGACAGCGGTGGAAGTCCGGTCATCAGGGAGAGGGGCCTCCAGCCTCCCCGGTCCCTTGGGTTAGAAGCACCTCAGTCTCCCCACCCTGTGTTGCCCAGGCTGGCTGAGAACTTCTGGGCTGGAGCGATTCTCCTGTCTGAACCTCTCAGGAAACGGGCGACCTGTGGATCGGCTGAACTGTTTGTGCCACCTGGAGCCAGAGAGGGCCGTTCCCAAAGTTAGCAGAGCCAGGCAGGCAGAAACAGAGAAAGCCACGGAACTGGAGGTGCATTCCACGGCCCCGTGTGCCCCCTGGTGGTGTCTCTGAGTAGTGCAGCCTGCCTGCACCCCTCAGACCCCAGTCCCTGCCTATGACAACTCCCCTCCTCGTTTCCCCTTTCAGCCTCATTAGGAAAAAGCCCAATCCCAGCTCATCACGTCTCACAGCAATGCAGTAAATAGCTACGGAGAGGAGTGTGCGACAGAAGAGTTTGTGAACTTTCCCACCTTAGAAAGAGAGAGGGAAATGTTTGAAGATACCGAATGTTTCAAAGTGGAGGAAGGAGCTGGCGGCCCAGAGAGGCTAAGACAGGCGACTGGCAGCCAACACCTGGTCGGTCACAGCTAGCCACGAGGGAATGGGCAAGCTGAGTCATTTAACTGGGGATTCTGTCCAGGCGAAGTCATGCTAGAGTCACCCCAAAAGTGGTGACAAGAGAGTGCCTCAGAATATCCTGACGGGGTCAATGGTTACTCCCAAGAAAAGAGCAGGTACGAGGGGAATTTACATATGAACCGTGTGTTAGTATTCTTTGAGGGACTGAACACACACACACACACACACACACACACACACACACACACACTCATTACAGTGGCTTATGGCTGTGGTCCAGCTAGTCCAACCATGGCTGTTTCCTGATGGAAAGGCCAAGAGTCCCACAGTTGTTCAGTCCACGAGGCTGGGTGTCTCAGCTGGTCAGCTGACCATCAGTATACACTGGAGTCATGAAGAAGCAGGTTCTAACCCTAATGCCTCCATGACACGGTAGATGAACTTGCCAGTGAGACGGAAGGCAAGCAGGCAAAAAGCAAAAGCTGCCTTTGTCAGTCCATCCTTGTCATTTTAAGTGCCACCAGAAGGTGTGGCCCACGTTTAGGGTGGGTCTTCTCACTTGAAAGGGTCTAATCAAAGAACAATCCCTCCCAGGTGTGGCCAGCTGCTTGGGTTTGGTTGATTTTAGATGCAGTCAAGTTGGCAGCAAGACAGAGGTGTCCTGTCCAGCTGAGCCCAGAAGCAGTGGTAGGGCTGTAGAGTTTACATAGGAGTTTGAGGGATTTGGATTGGTGGTGTGGTTCAGGCACAAGGTTCCTTCTTAAACACTGCACAAATGAGATCCTATTGCCAGAGGGGAGGGGCTGTTGCAGGGGTCTGTATCTCTACTGCAGATGCAGGGTGCACAGGGGAGGCTGTGGGGTGCCCTGCACTGTCTACCAGAGAGCAGGTGGTCTTTTGTGTGTTTCTGAAGAATGTCACTGCTGTGTGATGAGGATATCTGCATCTATACTGAGGACCTTGCAGAGGGCAGGACTCAGGGTCTCATAGGCTCGGCCACTGACCTAGAATCCTCACTGCTTGACTGTGCAGGGGCTTACACCACTGTGGCTGGGGCTCCTTTCATATATTATATTATATTATATTATATTATATTATATTATGTATTTGTTGTCCTGGGATAGGACCCGGGGCCTTTTGCATTTGAAGCAAGCACTCTGGTGCTGAGCTGCATCCTGGACCTTCTGCTCATCTTAAAAAAAATTTAATGGCTCAGCATTGTAGGGAGCTGTTCCTGCATTCTCCATTACAATGATGGTGCCTGCAGACACCAAATGTAAATTATTTCACAGGCGCTGGGTAATTTCCATTCCTTTGATCTCTGCCTATCCCGTGGCTCATTTGGCCTGAGGAGCTGAAGCCATTCCTAGGGTAACATGTCCCAGGCGGCTGCTTGCCAGCCTTTATTAAGGGAAGGGATTCTTGGTTCAGGGTCTCCGCTCTGGTAAGCTTATGCTCTCCACTCTCAAGATGCATTAAAGCTTTTCTGCAGAAGGATCCGAGTGTCCTGTGTGTGTATTTCTTGCCAGCGAGAACATATAGCGCGCGGGACACAGCATGAGGGATTTGGCTCGATGAAGATGTGGTCACACTATGTTCTCTTTACATATTTCTAGATTTTTATATTTTTGAGAGAGGGTCTCATTATGTAGTTCTGGCTGTCCTGGAACTATGTAGACCAGGCTGGCCTCAAACTCAAGGAGATCTCACCTGCCTCTGCCTCCCAAGTGTTGGGATTAAAGGTGAGCACCATTATGCCCAACTTAGATTTATTTATTTATATGTATGTGAGTATGGCTATCTGTGTGCATGTATACCACTTGTGTGCAGTACCCATGACGGCCAGAAGAGGGTGTCAGGCCTCCTGGCACTGGTGTGATATGAGTGGAAGAGCAGCAATTGTCAGTGTTGTCCCAGCCCCCATGTTATGTCTCGTTAGAGAAAGCCCTCACCGTGACCACACTAACAGATATTACAAACCAAGCTCCCGCTTTGGAAGAATTAACTCAGGGAGGATATCAGCCAATCAGGGCCTCACAAACTCTGTCTGACTGTTGGTACATGTGCCCAGGCCTGAGCCAATCAGAGCAAGACCTCCTTGGGCAACCTGATAGGTTCAAGAGTGATCATATGCCCCAGAATGGCTGCCTAGGAGGAAGGGAAGGGCTTTCATTGCATCCTTCATCAATGGTCCTCCTGCCCACCTATTCCTGCTGTCTTGGGTGAGAAAGAGTTGCGCGCGTGCATGTGTGTGTGTGTGTGTGTGTGTGTGTGTGTGTATGTGTGAGTCTATGTGTGTGTGTGTGTGTGTGTGTGTGTGTGTGTGTGAGTCTATGTGTGTGTGTGTGTAGCTTTGATGTTTTTACAGCCATCCTAATGGGATAGGCCTGCTAGATAAATACAGGAAGCTCAATTAAGTCTGCATTTCAGATAGACAATCATGGGTGGGGTGGCATTTGTGTATACATTTACATTAGTACATTGTTAATCTGAAACTGAACAAACTATTCACATTTACTTATCCATTTTGCTAAACTGCAAAGTCCTAAGCCTGGAGTTGTGTGTAGTGAGAGGCTGCCCAGTGGGGGGTCTGATGGGCAGGTGAGGATCTCAGAGTAGATGATGGGCAGGGGAGTGTAGGGGAACCTGTAGCCATGCCTGCTTAGGGGCTGGCTACAGGTCTGCCTGACCACACCTGCGAGGTCAGGGTGACATAGAGTAAGAGTTTCAATTGGCTGGGTTTTGCTTTCAGTTTTCACCCTTTTGGCTTGCTGTACAGACTGCTGCCACGCCGGCTGGCTAGGTCGCTCTGTAAGTAAGGCTTTTCCCTATTAAATACCCTTATATTTCTACTTGGCTCTTTATTGGTAATTTCCCACTATATCTGGTTGTCATGAGTGGGATATTGGAAACCTACACCCCATTTGGGACAGGCTGTGGGTTCAACTGGGCCTGCGGCCTAGGCAGGGAAAGCTCCCTCTCTCTACAGGTGCTCCCGGCTCCTAGCCAACCCGCTGCACCACACAAGCGCATTCCCGCTGCAGCTGAGCTCCTCAGAATCATCCGCCCAGCTTGGAGACAGTTTCTAGCTGCCTAGAGTCGAGTAGGCCTCAGCTTTCAGCAGCAGCTTCCCCTGGCTGCTGCTGCAGGAAAGCCGAATCTCTTTGAGTGGTTGCAGCCGTAAAGCTGTATACTCTTTAAGATAAGCGCAACCGCTTTTGTGACCTCTCTCCACTGCTGCCACTGACCACTGCCAAACGCAGCACTGAGTAGCTGAACGCCTGGGCCACCTGCTGATCAAAGATAGTTACTGCATCTGGAGCAGAATTCAGGTAAAATTATGGTGGGATATTTATCATTTGCTAAAATTGGCGATATTTTTGCTTATTACGTGAATTCAATGTTTGAAGAGGATGCTAATTTGCCAATTACTGGCCTATATGCCGTAATGGCAGATAGCTTGCTGGTACAAATAATATTACTAGCCAGAGG